TTTGGTCTGTGGAGCTCTCGGGGACGTGCAGAAAGCAGAGCATTGCTTGGCTCAGAGTGAAACTTGGTGTTGTGCCTCCAAAATGTCAGCTCTCACCCTCTTTCCCTGTTTTCCTTGTGTCTCAACTACCTCTGGCACACACATTCAGATACTCTCCCAAGACGTGATGTACGAAGGGCACACCAGGATGAGAGCTGGAAGTGCTGGAGCTCAGTTTTTCCCCGGCAGTCCGGCTCTCAGCTCCCTGGCTGACATTGCCTTCCTGTGCAGGAGCTCAGTTCTCCCCAGCAGTCCTGCTCTCAGCTTCCTGGCTGACATTTGCCTTCCCGTGCAGGCACGTTTTTCCATGCCATTGTCCGCCTATCTCAGTTCTTTGGCTCCCGAGATATCATTTTACCTGTACTTTTCCATCCCAGGTGAGGACAAACGTGGTGTGATGCAGAGCTAAGACCGAGATGCCAGGAGTTTCAAACGTGCCATCTAGTGGTATGAGCTCGGAGCACTCAAAATAAAGGAAATCCCCCCAAAAATCCACCCTCCTCCAAATACTCATTATTTCTGAAGTGCTCCTGTGTTTTTGGGCAGAAAATGAGTGTTTATGGCCCCTGCTACCCCGTCGGGTTTTCTGAGTGCTGGGGAACTGAGCTGTTCAAGGATTTCTTAATCAGAAGGAGGAACGGGGAGTTTTTTAGTCTGTTATTTAAAGTATATGCTGAGAGGTCTGTAGCTTCATACCAAGAAAACAGAGTTCATGCTGTTACTGCCTCCCGTTGCAGGAGCTGAATCAACTTTGCAAACAAAATAAATCTTAAATTGAAACACCCTTTTATTTGGGGTGGAGGGGAGAGGGAGGTAACAATAATGTGCTTGTCTGTAGCCATGCAGCAGTTCATTAGCAGTGCCCTGTCATGAGATGCCCTGTGTTTGTGAATCCATACTGGGACATATTCTACCCCAGCAAATAACCTGAAGTACTTCCAGCTTCCTTCCCTCTGAAGAACAGAGCACTAAAATAGCAAAAGGCTCCAAAAAATCTTTCTAAAAACCTACATTCATCACCAAGATAAGAATAGGTCTTACAATGAGGAGTGTTAAAAGGCATGAGGTTTGTACCACAATTTGGCATGTTGCATGCAGTGAATTACAGCCTGAGTTAAATCTGTCTTGGGTGTTTGTCTTTGCTGTTATCTTCAGTTCAGGCTCTGGCACAGAATTAAAGTTGCTCAGGTTGATGTTTATGTGTGCTTGCTGTTCCTAGGATTTTTACCTAGAGGTCATTGTGTCCTTTTCTCTCATTACCAAGAAACTTGTTTGCTGTTTGCGTTGGATTATGTGATCCGTCTGTTGTAGCTACCAGAATAAGTCAGGAGAACAGTTCCATCCTGTCTCACGTGCCCCTCACGTCATCCTTTCCATGCCAGGGTCAGAATTCAGCCATTCCTATTTGCCTCTACCGCTCCAAAATTCATTTGTGAATGCAGCTTGTGCGCAGGCCCATGAGATGAAATAAAAGAAACTGCCAACCCTGGGATGACAAACTTCAAATAATATGGCAGATAGATGCCTGTAGAATGAACAAGAAGAGATAAACATCTAAGAATTGCCAGCAAGCAAAGTAGGGAGAAAAAAGTGTGGCAATATTAAATGCTGTCCTAACTTGGAGTCTGCTTACACAGCTTGGATAAAGCGTAGAAAGAGGATTAAGAAAAGAAATCGAAACCCAGACTTCCAAATGGCCAGAGAAGACCTTTTCTCTGTAGGGTAAGGGTCAAGCTGCTCTTGCATATTGTCTCATTCTGAATCTTTTATGTGTTTCGTGAGCAGCGGCATGTTTCAGAAGTGGGGGTGAGAGGGCACCACTCAGCTCCTCGTAAATGTGGAGTATCAAAATTACAGCACAGTACCAGGCTGTGGGGATGGGAGGAGGAAACAGAATATCTAAGTCTCCTGCTTCCCAGGTGAGAGACTTCACAAAGGGAAGATGCAGAAAGATAAGTAGCATCTCTTTCCCAAAGAAAACTGTGGTATAATGCTTTGTGCTGAACCTCAGTGCTGGATTGTGGATCCCTCTGAAAGGCTGGGCAGAGGTATCTACAAGGTTGGTCCTATAATAATTTAATCTTAAGCAAGAGGAAGATTAGTTTGCATCTGGTTTAATCCTTGAGGTGCCTCTGTGTGGTAACACAAAATGGGACATGGCCAAGGGGAAAAAGCCCTGATGTTACTGATGAAGAGCTGTGCAAAGTGCAGGTACTAACCTAGTGGAGGCTGGTTTATTTATTTGGATGTTGACACCTAAATAACACTAAAATGAGTGTTTTTGTCTCACTGGCTATGTCTGTACTACCTGTCCCACTCAGGGAGCCACTCTGTCCTCCCAGCCCCTGTCAGGCATGGATGTGTTCAGCCCAGGCAGGTTCCCTGCACCAACAGAGCATGAAGACCACTATAAGGTGTTAATTACAATATTCCATTTTTGTTTAGTTGGGGGTTTTATAGGTTGGTTTTTTTGTAGTGGTTTTCATTTTGAAGCTCCTGATGCTGCAGTTGCCAATTTATTGCTTTTATTCTGAGTACAAGAGCTTGAGCTTTAGGACCTGGTCACATACCCAGCTTTTGGTCCTAAGGGCTGAATTTGAGTTTGGTGTGACTTGACTCTCTGATGGTCCTGGAAAGTGCAGATCTTGCTGGGGCAGTGGCAGAAGCCTGCATGGGGACATGGGAACCAAACCTGGGATGGTCTTACCTGTGCTGTTGGATCCTCACTCCTGCAAACATGCTGGGCTGTGCTCCCTCCTAACAGAGGCCACGGGAATAATCAGAAAGCTGTGTTATTTATTAGACAAAGTGGACGTACCTGGCAGGAAATATTTGTTTGTACTAGTGGGAAGCAGCATTTGACTTTATGACGGCAATGCAGCTCTTTTATTAGTAAAACTTAATGTGTAACAGGATAATTCCGTTGCACCTACTACTATACTGGCATGATTTTGTACAAAATAAGTTTCTTGTTTCCTTGAAGGCCTTACATAAGCCCTAAAACTGGGAATGGATCCAGCATGTTCGATCACAATAAAGGAGCTGCTTCAGAGCAGGCTCTTCTTTGGAAATAGCCGTAAACAGGTTTATATATAGGCATTGCTATTATACACAAAACTTGCTGAAGAAATGTTTCCCAAGATCTCGTGGTTTTACTGTATGCCGTGGGGACCCTGCTCAGGCTAATCTGTGAGCAGACCTGTTGTAGGAATTCAAGGCAAGGTTTAAAACCCAAGACTGTCTATCAGATCCTTATGTGCTGAAAGGGCTGGGTGTTGAATGGCTCTTTGCTGTAAAAAAGGCATTTGATAAAAAGGCTCGGAAACTTGGGCTGGCATCCTACGTATGCAAATGCGGGTGCTGTCCACGTTATATTTGGATTTCAGGGTTTTTCAGATCCATTTCGAGACGATGGGTAGCAGCCTTATGTGGTTTGATCGCTTGCTTTCATCACCCATGCCCAATTATTATACATGAGATCCATCAGCCCCCTCGCAGCAACAGTTCCTGCAGCTGAGCATCAGCACGCTTGGGAACAATAAAGGGCTGGCACTTGGGAGTTTCTTTCCCTTCTAAATGGGCAGGACCCAAAATTCCTCCCTTGCAGAGCTCACCGATCAGGTTTGTGACTCGAACAGGTACATTTCCATCTGAGCAGCCTGAGGATGTGGGATTTGGGAAGATTTGTTGCCAGTTTGCATTCAGCGTTGTTGGTTGTGTGCTCTGGTGGAGTTTCGGATAGGTACAGGGCAAAACATGGAAAGACTCCTGCCTTTGTGTGATTGATTTTTAAGGATAATTTGCCATTTTGTTCCTTGCCTCCTTCCTAATGAGCTGAATTGTTAAAATATGTTAATGTAAGGAGACACACGAGAAAGGGTGAAGCAATCTACTGACACGTTGGATAATTAGATCATCTCCTGCGCAGGAAAAAAGTCAAGTACGAAACAGGAACAAGAAGCGCCTCCCTCCCCCCCTGTAGAGGCACCAGGTCTGGCTCTTTCTGCATGCAGAAGCAGGTTAGACAATTAGATCTTTAGTATTAATTAATTTTTGTGAAATTCCTGAAGGTTCAGGGTGTCGTGTGTAGTAACTGTCTTGTGTTTTGTCGGTTATTTTTTGGGAGAAGTTGGGAACCTCGTTTCAATGCAGCCCTTGAGGGCTGTATTCGTGAGCTGCGTAATCTTGTGATGAAACAAAAAAATGTCTGTTGCTGGACTGAATTTGTGAATGCTGTAGTGGTTAATCAGGTCTTCCCAGGAAAACAGTTGTGAGTTTTTGTCCTAAATAGGCATTAGCTCAAGGGAATTCTGTAAAGAGGCATGGGACATTGTGGCTGCCTTTCTGCTAGTGTTTGGTGTTTTGGGAAAGCAGTGCTTCGTTCTTCTTATAAGGTTTATTTGTTTGAAGTAATAATTGGCTAATAATCATTAAGATCCCAGCCCGGTGTGAAGAGATGCCTGCAGGGCGGCTGTGACAGTACTCCGCCTTTACTCACAGGAGTAAGCCCTCTCTGTGGGTTAAGTTTACTTGTTTGATAAACATAACACTTTGCTTTTGTTCTCTTAATCACTTCCTTCGAAGAGTTAACTTCCTAAGCAGCCACAGATTAGTTCTCTCAGTTGTTTTAATTATTTTTCTTGTCACGCACAGTGAAGGTCTCGTGTTTGTGAAATGTCTTCTTTTATTTTTGTCCCCCCTTCCATGGCAGCCTCGGTGACGCTGGCACTGAGAACCCAGCTGAAACACGCTCCCTCTGCACTCCTGGCATTTATTTTTACCCTTATTTTAAACCAGATCTCACTTTTTTGAATGGGAGTGCTGCAGAACACAGCACTTTCCTTTCAGGGTGACCCAAGTGCTCCAGAATGTTGTATTCCCGTAAGGGGTACGCGAGAGAGGCTGTAGCAGAGGCTTCCACGTGCTTGCTGCTGAGTAATTTCCTTTTGTATTGCTGACAGGTGACTCAAAGCAGGAGGGAGCAGATGGCAGCATCGTTAGCTGGTGGCCACAGCCTTCCCAGATGAGTTTTGGAATTTCCATCAAAGTCGGGATTAGGCTCAGGATATGCCGGTGGCACAGAGCACGCCGGGGGAGCGTGGAAGAAGAGGAAATCATTCATAGCGACTCATCTCGTGGTTGGGTGAGTCAGGGGTCTGCTGTTGGTGGTCAGAAAGGCACGTGGCTGACGACACCGTCTTTGTGTGCTCTGCAGGATGCAAACTGTCGCCAAAAATTAATTCTCCCCGCTTGATTTGTCCAATGAGTTATTTCCAGAAAGGAGTTACTGTATTTTCTGGAATGACTATTGTGAAATTCTTTCTCTGTCCTTTTTTTTTTTTTTTAAATACAGTGGGCAAGTGTTCAGCTGGTGATTTATCAACAAAGTATTTTACAGGATCGTAGTTAAAAGCTCATCTTAAAAAAAAAAAAAAAAAATCATACCCTGTGCAATAGGGAAAGTAAAAGCATCTCAGTTTCCAAGTGATGAAGGAATAACCGAAAGAGCTAGTTCTTGGAATAGTAGCTCCATTGGCACTCGTTGGTGATTTCCTGTGCATTTGCTGCAAGAATCGCTCTGTGATGTGAGTAGGTGGTACTAAAGGGTTATTACGAAACCAGTTTCCAACCAGACGTTTTGAGTCATGGATGGGGAACAGGGATAGCAGCTTCGGAGCTCTCTCTTTGTTCAGGCAGTGCTCCTGAAATGCACACGCAGGGTAATCTGTGCTTGCACGGAACAAGGCAGACCGGGGATAGGTCTGGGATCACGTGGAGCGCACTCCTTCATGCCTCTCCATCCCAGGGATGGGAAATGGGAAACGTGGGCTGCGAGCCGGCGGCGGCGTGCAAGGTGCACACGGAGCAGTTTCTCGACTGTCTTTCAATTGTAAGTATTTCTCATGGCTTTTCCCAGACGTGGGAGACAAAATGGAGTTGCGTCAGGACGGATGCCTGTGCCAAAATGAGGTGGTGGTTTGGAGTGCCTTGGTTCTGTTCTGGAAGCAGATGGGCTGCCACTGGCAGGAGACAGTTGGCTTCTCCATCAGGAAAAAAAAAAAAAAAAGAAAAAGGGGTGTTTAAAGGAATTGGTCTGGCTCCTAAACCGAAGGAATTGTTGACCCACTGACTCAGTTCTGAAGCATTAGGGAAGCAGTCTTCCTGTGGTTTCTTTTGTTGGTGGCAGATTCAGAGCCCGGCTGTGAGCGTTCGGGTGTGAGGAGCAGAGGAGAGGCAGTTCTGGTACCTGCTGCTGTGGGATTTATTTGGTGCCGGGGAGGAGCTGAGGTGCTGACGGCTGAGCAACACCTGAACTTTGTTTCTGATGTTTCTCCCAGTAATGCATTGGTAAGTTTATGTGCTTATTTTCAGTGCTTAGATGGTGTGTTGCTAAATGCGATTGAGAGAAAGCTCTTTAGCAGCTCTTGGAAGAGGTGTGTTCATTTTTTTCACTGGAGCAGCTTTTACAGAAAGCACTGGCTGCCCTGCCACAGTTTAGGAGGAAGGGGGAAACTTTTTGCATCAAGGTGGCAGAAACAATTTGAAACTGCTGTTTCCTCCCACCTTTAGCCTACAGACCTCTGCTGACATTGATCCTGAGCAAAGGGGATGGGCCAGTGCATCATCCTGGACTCAGGGCTGAGCTGTAATTTCCCTGTTACGCTGAATCAACAAGGCTTGAGTCTTGTTGAATTTTACATGAAAATCAGATGTTCATCCCTGGAATTAAATCTAATGATACTTTTCCTAAGATATGCCTAGAATAGAAACGATGTTATTTTTAAGTGGCTCTGCAAATGCCAAGAAAAAAAGATATCAATTAGTGGTTTCTCAAAAAAACCATAAATCATTAACATACTATTGGCTGGAAGGAATCATGTTGGCTGATGGAGCTGGGTCTGGAAGTCTTGGTCCCTGAATCTGCTGTCGATTCTGTCGCTGTATTTGGGAGGAATTTTTTGGAAGAGGAGCTTCTTGGGCAAGTCATTATTTATTTTTAGTTGTCAGTGGAATGAGGGGAGTGATATTTAACTTCTCTTTAGTGCTTTACCAGCACTGTTGCTGTGTTTTCCCTTTAGAGAGGATGCTGATAGGGGATATTGTAGCTCTTGGATTTCCAGAACATTGTTTGGAATGCAGAGATCATTAGAAAATGGGGAAAGCAGAATAGTGATTATTGAATTTATTGTGCTCTGTGATGGGTTCTCCAAACACCAGCGGTAGGACTTGCTGGTGCTGTGTCCTAACCATCCTCCGTGAAGGGAAGAATCAATCCACTGCTGCTGTTACTCCCTGGGTGGGTGACACCAGGATGTCTTCCCTTCCCAAACCCAGTTGGGGTGGCAGCTGTGGTGAGGCACTCATGGATATTTTTTCCCTGTTTTCCAAAACAGGAGCAGAGAAGGCCGTTCACCACCCATCCCTGTGGAATGGCAAATAAACCCAGTGGTTTAATAAAAAAAAAAAAAAAAAAAAGAGAAAAAGGAAGATTTAGCATTGTACTGGGTTTCCTTTCCTTTCCTTAAGTGCTTCCTTTGGATCTTGGGAGAAGAGCTCAAGAGCAGGGAGCAGTTGTACCAAAAGGCGTGGGAGGCCGGGTCAGGGAAGAGTCACTTGGTTGTTATGTGGGTGTGAAAAGCCTATGAAAAGGAAAGGGTGGAGGAAAATATTTTACTTGAATTAAACAAATAGAGGAGAACGTTATATGAATTACATATTCAAAGATACATTTTTTGCCAAGTATTTTTGTGAATTAACTGCATATCTCCTGAAAATCATTTATTTAACCGTAACCTTATCAGAATGTTCTCAGGAGGGAATTTTTTTTTTTTTAAGCCAAAAAAAAAAAAAAAATCATTGTTTTCTTATCACTTGAGATGAAAAGAAAGGAAGTTGCAAATTTTTATTGCCCCTAAATTGTTAACTGTTAAACCTGTATTGAAGCAGTGGATCAGATTTCCTCAGGCTCACAGTGGAGCCAGTTTCATGTGCTGAGAAATCCCAAGCAGGCCCTGTTTGAGGAGAAGGAGTCTTAGATCTTCATCTCATTGTTTCATGTCCACCTGTGGGACAGGGAAACTGCTGCTCTTGAAAATCACCTGTTTTGGGGAATGGGCTGTTGCCAATGATGCAGTGCACAGGGGTGGTTTGCACCCAAAATAATTGAAAAAATCATAATTTGAAAGCAGATATTTTTTTTTTGCATAGAATTGTAGAGTATGGACAAGCATGCAGTATCTCCATTTATTTGTTTTTAAAATAGCACCTAGTATTATTGAACTAGACTAAATTATATGTTGTGAAGGTGACATTTTTCCGTGCCTTTTGTTATTATCTTGAGCCAAAAAAAAAAGGCAGCACATGGAGGTAACTTTAACAGCATTTTGTTGCAGGAGCAGAATATTACTTCTTACATTAGTTAGTGAAAGTCTTGATTTTTTTTTTTTAAAAACGAGGCAAACAAACAAAAATCAATAACAACAACAAAAAGTCTTTATTATAAATAACAGCTTTTGGAACACAAACCATAAATTTCGTATAAATTAAAACTTAACACAGTCCAAAATTGGATGCACAGGTTTGTTGTGTGATGTTTTGTACTAAACCAACACAGTCCTTGATGTTTTGGTTCTGAGCAGTGTTTTGTTAGTGTTGATTTGTACTCATGTCTGAGGGATTCCCGTGTGGAAGTTCACAGGCAGTTGTTTGTTTTGTAAATTTTTTCAGGTTTTTTTTTATGGCCCGTAGCTATCCAAGTGCAGAGCTTGCAGCTGAAGTTTGTGTAGGAAATGGTGAGCTCAAAATTGGACCTGGAAGAAAGGAGTGAGGAGCGCTTCCTCTTCCATCGCTCCACTGGAGTGGTAATCAGAGAATCACAGAGTGGTTTGGGTTGGAAGGGTCCTTAAAGATCATCCAGTTCCAACGCCCTGCCATGGGCAGGGACACCTTCCACTGTCTCAGGTTGCTCAGAGCTCCATCCCACCTGGCCTTGAACACTTCCAGGGATGGGGCATCCAGAGCTGGATATATGTCTGCTGCCAAACTGGGACACCTCTGGGCAGTGCTGCCCATCCCATGCTGGGACTTAAGGGTTCCCTGATGCAGTAAATGGACATTAGCAGGCAGTTTTCACTTCTAACCGAGTTTGGGCACCTGAATTGTATCTTTAAGAACCCAGGCAGCTACAGAAATTCCCCATATGACCTGTTATTACAGGCTCAGGTGAGAGTGTATGTGCAGTTCTGTTGCCAAAACATGAGGTTGGCAGAAGTGAGTCATAACTGGGAAGATCTCAGCTCTGCTCTTTGATTTGCTTTTATCCACCAAATATAAAAATACTTCCAAGAATACGGGTAGGAATATGCTGCTCTCCTGTTAGGGCAAAGCTCTCACTGGCTCTTAGGTGTGTTTACATAGCTCATAGGATGTATTTTTGAAGATTTAGTATAAAAGGAGCTATGTATACATTTTATCTCATCTTCAGTGCAGTAGGCATGAGCAGTTCCTGGAGAAGGGACCAGAATATAGGGCTCTACCCCTTCTCCTGGGAGTCTCTTTCCCATGGAGTCATACTTGCCCTCCAGGGCTTTCTCATTATGGCTTTGTGAGTTTTGAATTCCTCTGTGAGCTGGCCTGGCTCCAGGGGGAGGGCAGAAAGCAGCCTCAGCCCAAGCTCTGCTTCAAGTCTGCTGGTCCAAGGACTTTGTAGGAGGTGGGATCTGCAGGAGGAAAAGTGCCCAGCCCTGGGAAAAGTACCCAAGCTTCCCAGGTGAGCTCTTATCCACTGGATTACCGTTTAAAGGTGACAGTATTGTCTTTTGTGGACATGTTTTTAGGTTGCAGTGGTTGTTGGATGTCGTTTTGCCGTTGATATTTTAGCGTGAGCAGAGTTTACCTGCTCTGCAGGTTTCACATGTGGTTTCAGAGTCTGCTTCTTTCTTGGTCACCGCTGATGACCACGTGGCCTTGGGGCGAGCCAGCTCAACTTTGCTGATCTGCTTGGAAAAAAGAGATTTTTCTTCTCTGTTTCTTTTCTTTTGAGAAATGAGAACTGCTCCATCTCATGGCTTGGCTGCTAGTGCTGATGGGGAGGTAGCAGGAACTCATGGCCAGAAGCGAAGGAGGAGGTGAGACTGTCACTTT